TCATTGATTTTAGTTGATTTTATCACAGATTTTAGTTGATTTTATCATTGATTTTAGTTGCACTCTGTAGCACTTTGAGATTTTTGTTAATGAAAAGTGCGTTACAAATTAAATTCATTATTATTATTATTATTATAACACGGTGGAGAAAAACCAGACAAGTGGAAAATGAAAGGTGTTTAAACTTTTTTGGTTCAAAAAATTAAACAATTTGAATTATTTTTCAACTTAAATATATGGAAGCAACTTTATTTATAGATTAGTATTTGTCTTGATCCAGAACAAAATGAACTTTGTCAAAACGTTTTCATAAAAAGCACGTTGGAGTTCATGTGTTTAGAAAGGTTTAGAAGCAGATTTACACTATTGGGCAATTTAACAACTTGAAATTTAAAATTTGTGTTTGGTTCTGGTGGTGGGAACAGCCAAAAAAAAAAAAAAAAGGGTAGAGCCAAAAACACGCTGACTAATAATCAGAAGCCAATAATCTACTGGTAACACACACAGAGGGGTTCACGTGTCTACATGATAGAAGTTAGAATTTGATCATTTGGTTAGATAATTAAAATGATCTTTTTAGTTCTAAAACAAATACATACAGTTTATCAGATCTTCTTTGATGAATAAACTCACTGAGACCAGATTAACCAGGAACAAGCCCAAAGGAACATGGGATTGGTTCAGAATTAGCATAAATAAATATCATAAAATAGTCACAAAAAGGATAAGAACCTAAGAAGTTTCAAACCAATCTTGTGACTATGGTTTTAAAATATTCAGCTAGGAGAAACAAGCAAAACAAGATGTAACGCATCATAACCTGGCTGGTCAGTCATTTAGTAAAAAAGAAAATGGAATTAAATCAAATGTAGCTATGTCTAATGTGTACCACGGCCTTATTGTTAAAGTTGTTGACAACAAACTAACAATACTATCTTATTATTATCATACTATCTTATTATTATCCTTCTCCTACTCCGCTCCTGTTTCCTGGAATATCTTACAAAAAGATTTGAAGCTCTCGACCTTGACCTCTCTAAGTGGCTTTAAGAATCTGTTGGACGCCTGGCAGGGTCCAATGCAGACATGTTCCTGTTTTTAGTTTTATACATTTGTCTTGGAATCTAACTGTTTTTTGTTTTGTTACCTTTTTCCTTTTAGCCATCCTATTTGTTAAAAAAACAAACAAAAAAAACTGTAGTATGAGTTTTTATAACTGCTTATTGTTGTTGCTGTTGTCCATTGTTGTCATCTTTCTTTGTTGAAATCAGGTCTCTCTTGTAAATGAGTCCTCGAGGCTCAATGGGATTTACCTGTATAAATAAAGGTTGATTGATTATTGTTGGTCTTACTGTTAGAAGATTGCTAGGTTTAAAACAAACACATTCTGAAAGTTATAGTTACTGAAAGGAGTCAAAGTTAAGTCAACTTGTTTCTCTTTATGACCATCAACTCCCTTTTGGTAGAATGATGATCGCAATAATATGTTCCAATATTGGATATTTAGGCCCGAGCAGCGAAACGCTGCGAAGGCCTATTGTAATCACTCTTTTCAGGCCCGAGCTGCAATTTTTTAAAAATTCTGTTAAAACTAGAAAATCAAAACTCAGAGCAGAACCTTGGCTGAGTGACGTCACCAAGGCCATTAGGCAGCAATGTAAGAGGGCGGAGCGCAAATAGAGGAAAGACAGGCTGCATGTCTCTTTTCAAATACTTAAAGAGAGTTGGCGTCTTTATCAGAAAGCAGTAAAAGCTGCTAAATCCAAATACTTTTCTGATATTATAACCCCAAACTCTCACAACCCATGTGTCCTCTTCTCTACCCTAAATTCTGTTCTCCACCTCACTGAACCATCACCACTGGAAGCCTCGACTGAGCTGTGCAAGAACTTCTTACATTTCTTTTTGGAAAAAAATTGCGACCACCTGGGCTCTCATTTCCCCTCCAACTCATGACCCATCCATCCCACCTCAATCTGTAGCTTTATTTGACCATTTTGAACCCATCACTATCTTTTCTAGAGCAGGTCATGTGCAGCTTGAAGCCTTCTGGTTCCCCCTTTGATATGGTCCCCCCTTGACTACTAAAGGAGGTTTTTCCTACTCTAAGTTCGTCCATTCTTGATATACTAAACAGTAGTTTATCCACTGGCGTGGTGCCAAAATCCTTTAAACATGCTGCTGTCCAGCCTCTCCTGAAAAAAACCAAACCTTGAACCATCAGTCTTATCCAACTTCCGTCCTGTCTCCAGACTCGCATTTGTTTCTAAACTTCTGGAGAAAATAGTTGAGTCCCAGTTGAAGTGCTTCCTGGAGGGCCACGCCATCTTAGAGCTATTCCAATCTGGCTTTAAACCTCTCCACAGCACTGAAACTGCCCTGCTGAAGGTTTTTAATGACATCTTCAGATCCACAGATAATGGTGATTCTGCGCTGCTTGTCCTATTGGATCTCACAGCCGCCTTTGACACCATCGACCATGAGATCCTCATTGCTAGGTTGGAGCAGTGGGTGAGCATCACAGGGTCAACCCTCAATTGGTTCAGATCCTACCTCGCTGACAGATCCTTTTGTGTCTCCATCAAGGATTTTAGTTCTACAGCGACAGAGCTTAAATGGGGGGTTCCGCAGGGGTCCATCCTGGGTCCCCTCCTATTCTCATTATTATTTTTTCATTCATTCAACCTTTATTTAGACATGTAAATCCCATTGAGCCTCAAGGACTCATATACAAGAGAGACCTGATTTCAACAAAGAAAGATGACAACAATGGACAACAGCAACAACAATAAACAATTATAAAAAGTCATACTGCAGGTTTTTTTTTTTTTTTACAAATAGGATGGCTAAAAGGAAAAGGTAACAACAACAAAAAAAAAAAACCCAGCTAGATTCTAAGGCGAATGTAGACTTTATACCTGCTGCCACTTGGTGCTATTTTCCGGAAACACAACATACACTTTCACTTCTACACCGATGACTGTAAAATCTACTTCCCCCTAAGACACAATGGTACATGCTCTATTCAACCTCTGCTCGACTGCCTGGCTGACATCAGGGACTGGATGGCTTTAAACTTCTTAAGTTTCAATGAAAAGAAGTCTGAAGTCATGTTGTTCCCTCCCAACAACACGATCACAAACCACTGCATCGACCTCTCCGCTCTAACCCTGTCAGAAAAACAAAGAGTCACTAATCTGGGAGTGATAATGGACCCTTCCCTGAAACTTAACTACATGTAAACATGATTGTTAAATCATGTTTCTTCCAACTGAGGCGGCTGTCTAAACTGAAGCTCCAAAAAGAACCTGGAGACAGTAATACATGCATTCATTACATCTAGGCTTGATTACTGCAATTCGCTCCTGTTTGGTACCAGTCAGACCTCCATTGCACGACTACAACTGGTCCAGAATGTAGCAGCCGATTTTTAACCAGTACAGGCAAAACAGAGCACATCACACCAGTTTTGGCCTCACTGCACTGGCTACCGGTTCACCTTCGAATCCAGTTCAAAATACTCCTGTATGTCTACAAATCACTGAACAGTTTTGCCACCCCCATCTCTCTGATTTGCTACAACCGTATGTCCCTCCACGTTCCCCGAGGTCAACGGACCAATTGCTCCTTACAGTTCCAGGAACTCATCTTAAGCACAGAGGTGACAGGGCCTTCTCTGTAGCAGGGCCAAGACTTTGGAACAAGTTACCTCTGCTTGTCAGACTGGCCCCCTCCCCCCAGTTTTCAAATCCCGTTTAAAAACCCACTACTATTCAGTAGCTTTCAACACCAGAGGATCTGTGTTTTGAACCTGT